TCTGAAGGAAGTCGGAGCGAGACACTCAAATTATATCCGTACGTATAAATGAGTATGACTTTTTCCTGCTCCGCGCAACGGAAGCTTTTAGCTGTACCTTTAAACGATCTGCATGAAGCATAGTCTGTTTGATGTACTTTTTTTTAACTATACGATATTGTGAATGTGACTTTAATTGTATGATATTTAATTCCCTATTAGTAATGTTTAGATATGAGATTTAAAAAGAAAAATGTTGTTTTTGTATAATATTTATTGTATAGATTTTATCTGTTTTGGTTTATTTATTTATGTACTAATTCAGTACACACACAATAAAAGTTTTTAATAAAATAGGTAAGTACATATATAAAATTTAAAATCCCACAAGATAAGAAAATCCATCGGGTGTTGCCATTCGCTGCCATATTTTACACAAACTTATATTTTTAACTTATAAAAAAAACTTCTGATATCCGCCCTACTGGCTTAACACGGGCGAAATTCATTTTAACGCGATTTAATCTTAAAATATACCGCGTGTCTTATTATTATTTCTAACAAACTTACAAAAATTCAATCTGTTGGAGCAAATGTCATGCAAAATCTGATGATGACCAGGAAATATCATCCTTGTGTTGTCACCTCTAACTTCTCCTCACCTTGTATAAATAAATATAAATAAATATTTCCTGCACTCACACCAATTAGCCTAGCCCCAAAGTAAGCACTATAAGGCTTGTGTTATGGGATACTAGGGTAACGGATAGAATACGTATACTGTACATATATAAGTATATTTTTATAGAAATACATAGTAAACATCCATGACTGGAGTACAAATGCTCGTATTCATCACACAAACATCTGCCTCCACCGAGATTTGAACCCGGGACCTCTCGAGTCGGCGACAACATGAACACTGGTGTACAAACCACTCGGCCATGGAGGTCGTCAAGGTTTATATGCAGACATACTGGATTATTAATGTTTGCCACTCAACAAGCATATGGCCCACCTGATGGTAAGCGGCCACCATAACTTATAGACACTAGTGATACCAAAAATATGACTCGCGCCGTTACCTACCTCTTTTTTTTATACGCAGGCAAAAAATACTATTTACAGACGACGGCGCCTTTAAGAGGCACACCGCCGAACGGACCTCACGCCTGGCTCCCGCAAGCCTAACGAGCCCCAGCAGTGGCTGCCCACTGAGGACCCCGTAACCCTTACGGGTTTACGGCATAAAATCCGCTTAAAAACCCTGTGAAAATCCTCTAAGCTGCTTAGCGCGAAGCCGCGGGATCCCCGTTTAGGGATTCTTCCGCGTACCGTTGCCTACCCTGGAACCTTACTCACCGACAGAAACACAACACCACCACTTCTATAAGGTAAAGGTTACTTTCCCAGATGAGCGGAATCTGCTTTCGGATTTGCACACACAGTCGAATTAACTAAGTCATACTTTTTACATATATCAGAAGACTAATCGTGATAAATAGCATAGAGAATCTAATAGCCAATTATGATAATGGTTTGAGCTCGATGCTTATTAATATAACTTTGAATTTAAATTCTGACATTTTAATTATAACATTAAAATTTTGTCATTTATTTTAAATTTTAACCTTAATGTATTTTTATTTTACCATTTTAAATTTTGACATTTTATTTTTTGTCATTTTGAAACTGTTGAAAGGTGTGAAACCGATTGAATATAATTTTATTTTGTTTTAAATGTACTTAATTGTATGTTGAGATGTAATTTAATTTGTTTTTATGTATCATAATTATCACTTTGTCATTGGCATGCTATGGTCCTTGTGGTTGAACTTAATGAATTATTATTATTATTAGTGGGAGAAAATTTTATAAACTATGAACCGTAAAACACAGAAAGAGGTATCTATATAAGTACATCACGTCTAAAGGCGAATACTTACGATTAAAAGTACAAATTAATAAAATACCTCAAATACCAACTATGACATAAATAAATATTACAAACATGTAATATCAATTCTCGTATTTAGATTTTAGTAGAATAGGGATGATGACGAAGTAAAGTATACGAAATTATATTTAGCCAGTCATTGTCAATTAGATTTATCAAGAAATAATGGACACTGAGGAGCTCGGAGGTGCAGGTGGTTAGCGCGTTCGTCTGCGATCGTTGAAGTTAAGCAACTTTCCCACTGGTCGGTCATTGGATGGGTGACCAAAAAATCTTCTGTCTCGAGTTCCTCAAGAAGGCCTGTGCCCCAGCAGTAGGGAGATTAATAGGCTGGTCATGATGAATGGACACTTTTCTTATTTTAATTAACCATAAAATAACAGAGATCAGCCTTGTCAAAGTTCCTAAACTTTTCCTGCTTCACTTAGAAGTAACGTTACAAACCCCTATCCCTAAAAGCCTCTAGGCTTCTGACTTTACTTCTAAGTGAAAAATGTACCAAGACGACATCATGCGCTATTTCAAATCAATATAAATCTCTTTTTTCAGTCCAATACTTTTCGATAATCTACCTGATGGACTTAGAAAAAAAAATTGCCATCATCCCTATTATACATATTGTTATTGTGAAAAGTCAGTAGGTATGTTTAGTTAGTAAGAAATATACCTACACAAAAATATTATAAATAAAATTTCTTTATCAAATTTCGTATGGAAACTTGAACAGCAGCGCCACAAAGGACGTAACGAGAACTAAAAATCAGTACACTTTTGACAATGACATTACGGACTCGCAAACTATTCGAATTCGATATTGGTTCCTGCTAATGGTACAGTTAATATTTTAAACACCTTTTGTAATATTATGGATTGCAATAAAAATGATTATGACAACATTTGATAACAGAACTGAATTTACTATATAAATAAGACATACAAAAGCAGTCAGTAAGCACTGTCTAGCTTATTACAATAAATCCTTATAGTAATCCGATAATTTTGCAGGGCGATTTCTGATTACCGAATTTGTCGGATTACAGAGTACTGCGTAAGGGTACGGCCAGAGTGCACTCAGATTCAGATTCAGATTCAGACTCAGAAAACAAGCGCGAGAAAGAAACAGTGTAGTCGAAGGGTACGGCCAGAGTGTACTCCTGATTTAGATTCAGATTCAGACTCAGAAAACAAAGCGCGAGAAAAAGCAGGCAACCTGCTTAGACTACACTGTTTATTTCTCGCGCTTGTTTTCAGAATCTGAATCTGAATCTGAGTGCACTCTGGCCGCACCCTAAGACTATAGTGCGCCCTCTATAGTCCAGTATTTTTGGTATAAGAGTACCTTGTGTTCGATAGTTTAGTGTCTTCTATATGTGGATTTCTCAATAAAACTTGGATATTCAGATTGTACATTATTATTCATAGTAAAATACAGATCTTATTGAAATTATGCGCGTGTCTTTTTTGAATTCGAATTGCAAGAGGGAGAGTGAATCTATATAAATCAAAATGAGTGAATGTAGAATGTATGAATGGACGATGATGATGGATCGATTGTACATTCTCTCGCCGAAGGATAGATGGCGTTAACACCTTGTAATCCGACAAATTACAAATCTCAAAATCTATTTCAATTTATTTTATGTGCAAATGAACAGTGAGTATCAACAATGAAATTAAATGATTCGTGTCGGATTACAGGGGGCGCCAGATTAGACGGGGTCCGGATTACCGCGGGTCTACTGTATTTATACTAGTAAAACTCCAAGACGTAAATGGTAATGTATTTTTCTCAAGAGTACGTTCTGAATTAGAAGTTAAGCTGAAAGCGGAAGTGGATTGTTCTCGAATGTGCTTTTAGGGAGTGCGGAGGCTCTATACATTAAGCAAAGAGCTCGTAGCTAGATCCGGAATACTTGAATCAGAATAATAAATTATAAAACACACTGAAAATTGTAGGGTCGTTAATAATTGAAAAAAATATGTTGTGTAACTTGTTTCTTGGAAGGTTTAAGAATCTTGTTTTAAACTTTCATGGTTTCACTAACATTATAACTGTTAACGGGATTATTACCTTGTTTTGTATAAAATCTCCGATATTTCAGCACTGTTGCAAGCGCCATGATCACGGAGTTACTCCGTAACAATCCCATTAACAGCTATAATTTAAGAATCTTGATTATTGATACCTATGTGATTTATATCCATACTAATTTCTACTAATATACTAAATGTAACATTTTGTAACTTTGTGTGTTTTTATGTCAATGTCAATCACGCAGAAACGGCTAAACAGATTTGGATAAAATTTGGTACACATATAGTTTATAACCTGGAATGAGATATAGGATACAGTTTATCCCGAGTTTAGTCCTGTAAAAATTTTCTATAACGGCCACTACTAACCAATAATCTTATAATAATTACATAAAGTAACATTTGTTATTAATATTTTCTACTTCATTTCTAAAGAGCCCAATATAAAAAAAAAATGACTGTTATATTATGAGTCTTCTTGGAATAATAATGTGACTTCCGATACAAAGTATCGGTACAAGAACGAGGAAGGTAGTTTTACTATTATCATTTGGCCTGGAACTGTTTTCTAGAAATAGGTTAATCGTATATTCAATTATGGACGAGAATAGCAGACAATTTATGGAAAATTATGCGTCCAATGGAAGAAAGGGGATTGTATAAGGATGACGTCACCGAGAGGAAATTGGCTTTGTCAATATCACGGAAGGGTGTACATCGTTGACGTCACATAAGTTATTGTAAGAAACCTCAGTATCTCTCTGCAGACATAGCGTGAAATGTGCACATTAACATAGATTAGAGTGTTTTAGTCATTTTTTGTCTACTACCAGATTGCCTACGTGCGCGCACGGAAACCTTTTAACACAATTGAATTAGATGTTAACCCAATTGTCACAACCTCTGTACGTTTCGCCTGGTTTATCATCGAGATTTGCTCACCTTTCATGAGTTGCAACTCGAGAGAAAATGTTCAGATACCGTCTTAAATTATGCAAATGATATTTCATTATAAGATGGGTGCACTCACCAGTATTCGTCCGGTGGTGGTCTGGCCGGAGATGAGCTCGCCGGCCCAGTCCTTGGCCTCGGTCATGAAGGTGCCCTCGAACTCCTGTTTGCCCTGCCGCGCCGCCTTCTGCTCCTTCTGCTTGGGGTCGTTGGGCGCGAGCTCGGGCTCCTTGCGGCAGCAGACGAACGCGCACGCGCGCCATACCAGCACCACCAGCAGGCCGGCGAGGAACGTGAAGATCGACGACAGGAGGAAGCACCACCATTTCCGGACACTGAGGCAGTCATCTTCAGGGATCGACGCGGTAGTCGCCTCTTCCTCGGACGAAGCCATTCCCCGAGGGCGCGAGGCATCCAGTCAAGCGCGCCATGCACGTGCAGCGGTGCGCGCGCTCGCACGCCGTCCCGCGCGCGACTGAGCTCGCGCCGCCGCCGCGCCCCGCCCCGCCCCTCCCCTCGCACGCCCCGCCCCGCCTCGCCCCGCGCGGGTCGATGCCGCGCGCCGATCGATCCGCGCACGCGCCTGCCGCCCGCCGACCGCTGCACTACCGACCCGCTGCCGCTGCCGCTGCCGACATGCTGAGCCTCCCGAACTTCTCTTCTCTTCTCGGCGATGCTTCGACTAGACTCACACACTCGCCACCCGGGACGCCACCATTGCACTCAAAGTTTTGCCCCGGCCGTCGGCAAAGTCCGTCGTAGCCATATCAACACTGAACAGTTTTAATTTTAACAGGATCACCCGCACGATTTTTGTTCTAGAGACGACTGCGATTTAATATTTATGCAGGTTGAAACTAATTACTTTGTGCGAATGCGGAGGTTTCGTAAATAATATATCTTCCAACAACGTGCTCCGCTGGTCGTAGCGCTACGCCGCCCTGTGACTGCGTCAGCGATAGCTACGAAGTTCGTAGACGTTCGACTACGGCCGCGCTACGATTGGTCGAGTCGAGAATGGAAATTGGGGATGTGAGACTACGACGCGCGACGGAAAATGCTACTCTGAAACATTTATTTGAACTTTTCTTAAGGAGTTTGAAGTATCATCTTTAAAACCATAATCAACCTATAATGCTTAAAATAAACTTGTATTATCGTTTTTAATAAAGAAAAAATTCTTCTAGAATGCACCAAGCTTACCAGGAATAATGCAGATGTAGTTACTAAGTTAATGAGAACCAAAAAGAAACATCTGTAATGTTTTTATTTTTAATTGATTGTCGGTAAATTTCAAATGTGTATCAAATATTTATGCACGTATTTAGTATATTATTTATATATACAGGACAGAAGTTTGTCAATCGAACAGATTTTTTTGGGAAAACTTATGGTCTGCGCAGGCTAAGTACTTTTACCTGTGGACCACAAAAGTCCCTGAATCGTGAAAAATATGTCCGCCGTGCACTTCGCGGACTCAACGCACACGCTGTGCTGACATTTGCTGACTGGGAATTTAGAGAAACGCATTATAGACGGGAAACGAATTATTCTGAGATTACTTTGTGTTGTAACTTACATGAAGTTTAAGTAAAAGTGGAAAAAAAATAGTTTGCACGGGCCACAGATCTGAAGTAAAATTTCTTTTCTTAAATAACCTAACATAAACGGTGCATAAAGCAAAGGGGAATGGAGCAGCGCACGCATCCCACACACATATACATATGTGTAGATATATATAGGATGCGATAGGACTTTTCCATAGGATTTTTCCATTTACACCCCGTCCGAAAAGACGCCCAATTTCACTTCCAAAACCTTTTAAAAGATAATACTGGTTCCATCCTTTCAATCGGAACGAGCGCGCAACGCGGTCTACAGTTCGCCATGTGCGTTGCTACGCATAGGTTTACCATCTGTCAGGCTTTCGCCGCATTAGACAGGCTATCAAATGCGGCGAAAGCCTAAAAAAGCTATCAAAAACTAATTATTTATAATAAATATACATAAGGAGGTCGGTTCGTCATATTCTCCTTCCTCGTATGTAAATACGCTAATGTAGGAAAGACATGAAAATGTGACGAGCTGTCGCAAATTTACATGATATTTACAAGTTTTTTGAGTGGCCTACGCAAAATTCCCCCCTAGTGGCAACGTCGAGGCCTCTCACTATGCCGTCGCGGCCGGGTGTAGTTGGGAAACTCGTCCCTTTGGCCACATTTTTTAACATGGTGATCTGATGCCGGCACCGTTAGGTGGCCTTTTTTTTTTTTTTTTTTTGTGACGAGGGGAAGTGCAGTTACGCACCATACCGTGACGCTGACTAGGCGCACGGCGTGTGTGGGACTCGCCGGCACGGGAAACAGTGCCGACCCTACTCAAGCAGGACCAGTGCGGAAGGCCACACTGATCCTACTCCACTAAAACCCCCCGGTACCCTCCTACGCCCATATGGGGGCGTCTCAGGATCGACGCACCTTAGCGTGCGCCACTTCACTGGGACGCCCCCGGACCGTTAGGTGGCCTTAGGAACTCTGTCATAAAAGGATGCAATCTCATCAAATTTGGGCTTGTTTCAATCGACTGATCCAAGCTGATATCCAGGATCTGATGATGAATCCGGAACGTGGAAAGGGATTCAATGAAGCTCTGCTATAAAACGCGTCAATCCCATCGATGTTGGCCTTGTTTGAATTTTTTGACAAGGATTTTGGTTCTGATATTCCTTGAGGCTGTGGAAAAATCAAAATTCTAAAATAATAATTAAAAAAGATACGGCCGTTTATATTGCAAAAAACGGAAATTTTGACAATCTCAAGTGAATCAAAATTGATAGGGTACTTCTTAGGGTATTTCCTATGACCGAGAAAACTGAAACCTTATAGGATCACTCGGTTGTCTGTCTGTCTGTCACAAGACCGATCAAGTTGAAATTTGCTACACACATGTGAGCCAAACACCAGCTGTTCTGGCATAGCGACAAACGCTCCAGCTCCAACGTGCAGTTTTTGTTAACTTCAATACTACTATTTTTTTTATAGCCAGGTAGGCAAATGACACTACCCCACCTGATGCTAAGTGATGATAAAGTCCAAACGCGAAGATAGCTGGTACAACAGTTATAAACTGCCACACCAACCATCCTCACCTTGCCGACCTTCAAAAATGTTTCTTTACTTATATATGAGTCATTGTTGGATAGATAGCTATCACAGATCACGCCCGCGGCCTTAGATCTTGTTCCTCATTCGCACATAAAAAAATAAAATGAAACCAAGGGTTTACTACTAATTCAAACTAGGATTTTTTGTTTTAGTTTCAACGGTTATTGTTTAAAAGTTAAAGATTTTTTTACTGGAAAATATTCAATAAGTCCCAGACCTCAGTCAGACTGGAATCGATAAAGCATTCTTCGCTATCCGGGCGAACGCAGTTCTGAGACAAAGAAATAAGTGCTTACCTATGCACCCTGTGAAAGTGTGTAATCACTACATTTCATCTAGTGGGCCGCCCGCGACTTTTTGAGAATCCCATAAGAACCTTATTTTTTATGGAATAAAATAGTACCCTTTGTCCCAATCCAGGTCATAAACTATATGCATACTTTCAACCAAATCCTTTTAGCAGTTTTCGCGTAATTAAGGTACAAACTTTCAAACACAGAAACAATTACAGTTTCTAATTTTTAATTAGGGAGTATACGTAGTAATTACTTAGATACACATTTTTTTTAATTTGTGCATTATATTAATTCATGTTATTTACGTCAATTGTTACGATTGTAACGCCAATATCGGCTCTGTTACAAAAACAAGGAACATGGTAATACTCGCCAAAAACAAAGAAGATGGTTACAATCCCGTTTTGTTGACGACCTCCGTGGACGAGTGGTTTATACGCCCGGTTTCATGGTGTCGCCGACTCGAGAGGTCCCGGGTTCGAATCCCGGTGGGGGCAGATGTTTGTGTGATGAATGCGAGCATTTGTACTCGAGTCATGGGTGGTTAATATGTATTTCTATATAAATATACTTATATATGTACAATATATGTATTCCATCCGTTACCCTAGTATCCCATAACACAAGTCTTACAGTGTTTTACTTTGGGGCTAGGCTAATTAGTGTGAGTGTTAGAAATATTAATTTATTTATTTAAATAACATAAACTACTACAATGTTAGTGACCATGAAAGTTTAAAACAATAAAATCTGTGCGTTTATAGTGATTTCTGTTATTAAAGGAATTACTACCATTTACCTTGTTTTTTGCTTGTTTTAAAACAGATTGTATTGCTCAAATGAACTTTTTTATTTTAATCATCATCAAGGAACTACAGTAACTTTTCAGTTTACCAGAGTAACTACTTAGGTTTTTATCATTGTACAGGAATTACAAATTAACAGCCTTTTAATTATGTAGCCTACAGTTTCATTATAATCATAAAACGAACTTATACTTATTTTAAATTTCTTTAGGTACTTATTATTCTTCCATATACCTACCTTTCTCAAATTAAAAACATAACAAAAAATAAAACATTTATATCTTCTTTCATTATCTAGGAACTGTGCCTAGTTTCTCTTCCTTAACAAAAAAAAATTGTGTGTCAGCTCCGACGCACTCTAAAAACGATTGTCTTTGAACAGACACAAAACAAAATCAAGGCCGAAGAAGTCGGTTACAAGTAGAGATACCTCAGGAATCGTCCCATGGTTTCGACTATCATAGGTTCCATGTCACACATTTTATCATCTACCATCAGCGATATTCATCATATATTTTACTATGTATTTCTGGAAACACACAATTTCAAAAATATCACACACTAGTCATCATTTTGTAAATATGTATTATAATTCCATCTGTACTGAAAATCACTATTCCAGAATGCTGGACACTTACCGGCATTTCTCTATATTCTGTTATTTATTTGTTTTCATTAATTTTGCTCCGATTTTATCTATTTTTAGTTTATTTATTTTATTGACATTTGTGACAACTTAATGTTTTTTATCCGTTGCCATGGCTAAAAGTGAAAGGTGCGCAGATGAGGTTCCGCACAAAAACGTAACGAGGTCATTAATGTCATTCATCGATAGATTTTACTCCTCACATTTTTCTCATACCGGGCCCCTTATATATGCAAATCGATTCTTAAGAAGTAAACTCCAAAAAACTTCTTAAACAATAATAAATGTAGTTGTACTACAATCACATTTTGTTTCATTAATCACAATTATTAAAAATAACGCCATAATTAAAATTCAACCAAACCTTTCCTTAATACTTTTAGGTATAATTTCTTCTTTCTTTACTCTTCTTTCTTCTTCTATAAATATTCTTATTATTTTTTATTCCTTCTCCGAAAAAATGATTTAATTTGGCTATTCCATTTCGTCTTCAATATATTATCTATGAGTGCATCTTTGACATTATTGCTGGATGGAAGGTTATTATATTCTGAATGAAATATTCTTGGGATGACGC